GGAACCAGGATTGCCCTGACAGAGTGGGTCACCTAAAACTGGGTGGTATGCATTTCTTTCTCTGACAAAGGTCTGGTCCCAGTCACAGGTCTCCCAGATGAGCCCTCATGGTTGTGGGAGATGGAATCGTACCTCTTCAATTTTGTGGTCAAATCACAACATGGAGACTCAGAGATGAGGGAAGTAAAGAGCATTTTAAATCTTGTTCTTGCAAGTATGGGTGAACCTCAGGTGAGCAGATACACCGAGGCAGTCACAGCCAGTGCATTTATGCCTCTAAAGCACAAGTTCCTGCCCTGGTTCCCCATTGGTTGAGTACTTCAGAGGTTACATCACTTTTCTGGATGCTGCCTGAGCAATAATTTTGTACAAATAAGGTAAAACACAAGAGTTTCTACACAAATAAGGTAAAATACATGTTCTGAATTCTGATTGGGCTTCAATGCCTACTAAAGGAAGCCTGCCAAAACAGAAAGCCCACCAAGAAAGGAGGAAGAACCAGGAAGTGAAGTCACCATTTTGAAAATGAATCACCATTTTATTTCTTATATTATCTCTTCATTTCTTAATTAATTTAGCTAGTGGTCTATCAAGTTTCTTTGTCTTAAAGAAACAACTTTTTGTTTTATTGATCTTTGTATTTTTAATTTGAATTTCATTTACTTCTACTCTGATCTTCATTATTTTTTTTCTTCTGCTAACTTTATTTGTTTCAGAATGGTTTGTTTGTGTTTTTCTAGTTTCTTGAGGAGTGATGTTAGGTTATTAATATGCAACCATTCGTTCTTATTAATGTAGGCCTTAAGTACTATACATTTTCCTCTAAGTATAGTTTTGACTGTGTCACAGGCATTTTGACAAGTTGTTTCATTGTCATTTGTTTCAAGGAATTTTGAAATTTCCATCTTGATTTTATTGTTAACTCAAGGATTATTCCGCAGTATATTGCTGAACTTTCATGTTTTTGTTTGGTTTCAAAGTTCCTCTCAAAGTTAATTTCTAGTTTGATACATTGTGATTTGAGAAGGTGCTTGATTTTATTTTGATTTTCTTGAATTAATTGAGATTTGGGGCCTCGCATATGGTCTAACTTGGAGATTGTTCCATGTGCAGAAGGGAAAATGTATATTCTGTAGTTTGGGGATAGAATATTCTATAGATGACTGATAGTTTATTTCCTCTAGATTCCTGATTAACTCCAATATTTCTTTGTTGATTTTCTGTCTTGATGATCTGTCTATTGCTGTCAGTGGAGTGTTGAAGTCTTCCACTATTATTGTACTTCTGTTTATCTCTTTTTTACCTTCTATTATAATCCATTTTATAAGACTATGGGCTCTGGTGTTAGGCACATATATACTTAAAATTGTTATGTCTTCTCTTTGGATTGATCCCTTTATCATTATATAATAGCCACATTTTTCTTTTTTTACTATTGTTAATTTAAAATCTGTTTTATCTGATATGAGAATGGTTAATCCTGCTCCTACTCATTTTTATTGATATTTACATAAAATACTTTCCTCTATCCCTTTACATTGAGTCTATAGGAGTCTTTGTGAATTAGGTGGGTGTCTTGAAAGTAACAGATATTTGAGTTGTGGGGTTTTCCTAATCCATTCTGCATGTCTGTATACATGTAGTGGGGCTTCAATACCATTTTCATTCACAGGTAATAATAATATGTAAGATACTATTCTATTCATTATACTGTTTTCTGATTTGTTTGTTTGTTTGTTTGTTTATTTATTTATTATATTGTGCTGATGTTCCATAGGCCTGTGAGCTTTATGGCTTCCAGAATTTTTCTACTAGTGTATTCTACCTTTTGTTTCAGTATTTAGAATTCCCTTGAATATTTCTTGTGGTGTTGGTCTAGTGGTGACAAATTCCCTCAATGTTTGCTTGTCTGGGAAATACTTTATTTCTTCTTCATTTATGAAATTTAGTCTTGTTGAATATAAAATCCTTTGCTGACAGCTATTCCGTCTGAGGAGATTAAAAATGGAGTCTCAATCCTCTCCAGCTCATAGGATTTCTTCTAAGAATTGTATGTTAGTCTTGTTGATTTATCTTTGTAAGTTATTTTACACTTTTGTTTCACTCCTCTTCATTTTTTTTCTACACACTAACTGCATAACTTGATAATTATACGCTTTGAGGATAACCTTTTTACAATGAGTCTTCTGGGATTTCTTTGTATTTCTTGTATCTGGTTGGAACACCTATGACCCTTAGGTTTGGATGTTTTACAATACCTTACGTTTCTTGGAGACTTTGTTCCATTCTCTTCATTCTTTTCTTTTTCATTCAATGTCTGATTGGGTTAATTCAAAAATCTTGTCTTCAAGTTTTGAGGTCCTTTCTTCTGCTTGTTCTAGTCTACTGTTCAAACTTTCCACTGCATTTTGCCTTCCCTAAATGCTTTTTTCATTTCCAGAATTTCAACTTGTGTTTCATTTTATGTTGTCTATATCTTTGGATAATTTTCCTTCCATGTCTTCAAAGCGTTTTAAAATCTCTTTATGTTGGTTTTCGATTTTCTCCAGAAGTTCATTGATCAATTCTATAATCAACCTTTTGAATTCTATGTTTGGAATTTCAAAACTGTCATTTTGCTTAGGGTCTGCTGCTGAAGAGTTGGCTGGTTTTTGGGGAGGGTGATGGAGAACTCTGCTTATTCATATTGTTAGAATTATTTTTCGGGTGCCTTCTCATTTGTGTAGACTATTTATATTTGAGGTTGAAAGGTGGCTGATATAGCCACTAAAGTGTTCCCTTGGTTATATATACACTTGATGTCACAAATTTCTCAATTGCCAGCTTGATGGTCTTGCCTTGAGTACCTACACTGGCTTACAGCATACCGATTGGCTGGAATGGCTTGGAAAATGGTGTTTCCTGGGGTTTTGGATCAGGCCTTCCCAAGAGTTGTAGTATTTTATCCAATGTGATGGGCTTTAATGTTGATCTCCTGTCAAGAAGTAGTGCTTGTGGGAGAAAGACAGCTGCTATTGTGGCTGTGGGATTTCTTCCTTTCCAAGGAAGTGCCTAGTCTATCTCAATGGAGGGCAAGGCACTGGGGATTATCGAAGTTTCCTGTCTGTTTTGAACCTTCAAGGAGAGTGTGGTGGATGGAGTTCAAGCACCCTGAAAGACTGCACTTTTGGCTACCTCAGTGAGGATTAGGAGGAAGTCCCATACCACAGGAGTAATGTTGTTATGTAGAGCAGGAACTGAAGAGTTTACATAGGGAGTCAGAGGTGCTATGACAATGACCCCCACCTGGCTTCTCACCTTGGCCTCCAGCTTTTTGCCTTGTGGATGCCAAACTGCAGTTAGCATCAGGGCCTCAGATGTTCTCATGGCAACCCACCCTGGTTAGGAACTGTCTATAGCTGAGGAATTTGTCCCTGGGTCCTGTTCCTACCGAGACTGGCTATAAGGCAACCATGTTGCCCGCAAGTGTTGAATTCCTGGGTAATAGGGGTGGGTGCTTTTTTTACTCCTCCACTACTATATGTGGGCTTTGGCAGAGTATGGCTGTGGGTAAAGCAGTTTCTCATGAAGGAGTAAGGTCTCTCACCGGGTCAATTAAATCTGCAGCAGGAGCACAGAACTCCTCAATTCTCTTCACTCACTTTCCCCACAGCATTTGAAGGCTGCCAGTGTAGGGGATGCGAGCAGGTGAGAATTTGGCTAGTTCCAGCCTAAGTCAATAGATTTATCTTTTATTTGCATTCTGTGGTTATTATTGTTTTTTGAAGAGTCATGGAGCATTCTGCTGGTCTTGCTTCTCGAGTGCTGAGGAAACTCTATCTTGGTTTACTACATAGGAGAAATTCACTTGAGCTGTTTCATGGCAGCTATCTTAGAACTTAAGTTTTATAAAATGTTTATAAATTTGATTTTACCACATGCTTACTTATTATTAGACTGAGATGATGTATGTTTAGCAAGAACACCATAAAATAATGATATTACTGTTTCAGCATATATGAACAGAAGACGTGACATTACTTTTTCCTATTATTTGTTATTCACATTAATATTGAACTTTTGATTATAGGTATGTCTAACATATATCTGCACTATAAAAGTAACATCCTTCACCATTGTACTCAATAAGTTATAAGTGGAAGTATATTTTGATACTACAATTATTCTGTTCCTCAACTGACTTTTACCCATGGTTTTTGGATACATGGATGAGTCATTTAAAAGTTAAGTATATTTTGATGGTTACAAAATTATGACTTTCTAACTCCATTTGGAAAGTCATCATTTTGCAAAATCTATCTATATCTATCTTTTATCTTCATTATCATCTATCTACCTATCTATCATCCATTTCTTTTTCTTCTCTCTGCTTCCATTTGAGTTATAATTCATCACTATCATTAATTTTCATATTCAAATTGTTAAAAATTTAGCCAATGAGAGCTTCATTAAACCAATCCTATGAAATTTTGATATATCCTCTTTCAATTTGAGCATTTCTTATCTTCCTGGTGCAAAAAAAAAATCCAAGTTTATTATATAGTTTCTGTCTTCAAACCATATTTTTCTGCAAAAGGATTTAATTTACTTTGTTGATAGGTATTTGAAAATAAGATCTGGATACCATGTGTGATCATTTACACAGTGGTACCATTGTTTCTAAGACTTCCTAGTGAATAAAACTATGAAATATTTTGGGAGATATTTGAAAAGCTTTTCTTGTTGAAGTTTCATACTTCTTTGTCCCTCTCAAATTATTCACCTGTTATACTAAATTATAGCTCCATGAACATACTGTGCAGTTTCACACTGTTTCTCTGTCACTATAGCTCCTCCTAACTGGAATTCTATTGATTCATGACTTGCCTGGAGAAAACATAACTTTCCTTCAATTTTCAGTTTATGAATCATCTTTTCTATAGAGTTTCTAAAGATCTTCTCATTATCATTGAGTAGTCCCTCCTTTGATTGTCTTACCGTACTCAAAACAGACACCATTACAGCATCTAGAAAACTTTATTGTACTTTATTCATTTACATGACCAATTCTCCAGTAAAATGAAGGCAGGGATCAATTTATTGCTATTTTAGTAAGGCCAACAATTAGTGCAGAAAATAAAAGTAAACATTATAACTAAATGAGTAAATAAATTCTTCAATTACTGTTTCTTCTACATACCAGGTAGATCTCACCCAATTAATAGAAACACACAAACATATACACACAAACACACACACTGACACTGGAGAAGATTCTACTAAAACTTTCCAGGACAAACCCAGCCTCCAAAAGTTTTCTCCAAGTACTGGGCCACAGCCAGGGTCAGGTGATCATTATAGGGTGCTGCCACAACCTGGATGCCTAGAGGAAGTCCGTTGGCATTCAGACCCAGTGGGCACTGGGTCACAGGCAAGCCCAGGGCATTGAAGACAGCTGAAGAAAACAAACAAGAAAATTTTGAGAAGTCAAGACCTGTTCCAGAAAACAGTTTCCTCCCTCATTTAGCCCATAATAAAGATAATAGCTGCAAACATATAATTACAGTTCACTATTTGCTATGAAATCATTTAGGAACTTTAAGAGCATTAAATATTTAAATTGTCAGAATAAACCATTGATATAGGAGCTATTGATTATCCTTGCTTTACCAATGAGAAAAAAAAAAAAAAAACCAGAAGAAGAGAGAAGTTAGATAGTGTATACAAGGTTACCTGGCTAGTAAAAGCTGAAGTTTGGATGTTAATGAAGAAAATATGAATAAGTGCTTAAATGCTTTCTCACTATGATATTTCTAACTTGTCCCCTGTAGTGTTTTCAGAAAAATCAGAGTAAATGCTAAGATAGGGTAATATTATGCTCTCTCTCTTTTTCATTCTCTCTCTCTCTCTAAGTATATATATGTGTATATGTGCCAAAAAATGTACACACAATTTAAGAAATGCTATTTATGTAACATCTCTTTTGAAATTGAATTAAATTACAGTATCAATATGTAGTATGACATCTATTCAACCATACTTCCACTATTTTCTTTGACGGTCCTTCTTGTTTCATGGTGATGATACTATTTATTAGATTAATGTCATCTTTTGAGTGAACATCATACATAAAATGTGTATAAAATTTTTAGGCATTACATATGTATTATATGCATATATATAGTAATAACAGCTTGCACTAATCTAGAATTGCAATTTGAAATAATTTACTTCATTCATGGCGTGATAAAGCTTTATTGCAGCATACTTTATGGTTAATAAGATTTCTGCATTTCAAATGTGCATTTGATTGATAATAAATTTACAAAATTGTGCAACCATTATCACAATATAAATTGAGAGCATATTCATCAGGCCCCCCCAAAAAACTCTAATTAGCAATTACTCTCCATTTACATACTTCCCAAAGTTCTACAAACTATTAAATTTTGTTATGTCTATAAATTTTCTAATGTAAGCATTTCATATAAAATAAAGTATGTAATATGTAGTGCTTTGGATTTGACTTTTTTCACTTAGCATAATATTTCCAAGATTTATTTGTTATTTTTTATTGACAGAGAATATTAAATTGAATAACTAGAATAGATTTTGGTTATTCATTCATGAGTTTGTGGACACTGGTTATAACTTTTTGGCTACTATTAATTATGCTATGAAAATGCAGCACAATTATACATTTGTTTATAAGTTTTTATAGGAGCATACATTTTTATTTCATGAGTGTACAAATATAAGTGAAATTGTTGGGTAATATGATATATTTACACATAACATTTTAATAAAACAATAAAATCTTTTTCAAAGAATCTGCACCCGCCGGGCTCAGTGGCTCAGCCTGTAATCCTGCGCCTTTGGGAGGCTGAGGTGAGTAGATTGCCTGAGCCCGTGGGTTTGAGCCATGGGCAGTGAGACCTCATCTCTACAATAAATCAAAAAATCAGCTGGGCGTGGTAGTGCACGCCTGTAATTCTGGCTACTCGGAAGGCTGAGGCAGAAGGATCGCCGGAGCCCAGCAGGTGGAGGCTGTGGTGGCCGGGAGCGGCCACTGCACTCCAGACTGGGCGACCGAGTGAGACTCCAACTCAAAAAGAAAAAAAAAAGAGTTTGCACCCATTTTACAACAGTCTTTCTAACAGTGTATGAGGTTTCCAGTTCTCCAGATGCTCATTAACACATATTCTTTTTTCTTGTGGCTATTTTAGTGAAGTGCTGCAATTTTAATATACATTTCCCTAATGAATAATAATGTAAAACATCTTTTCATGCACTTATCATCATTTTGTAAGTTTCTTTAGAAAAATATCTGCTGAAATCCATTGGCCCTTTTAAGTTGACTCATTGTCTTATTATTGATTGTAAAAGCTCTTCATGCATTTGGAATATAAATCCCCAGCAAATACACAATTTGCATTTTTTTTTCACCGAGTTTGTGTCTTTCAACTTTATTGAAAGTGCCTTTGAAGAATAAGTTTTTAAATTTTAACAAATTTTTATTTACTTTTTTTTATTTATTGTGCTTTTGGGTGATGTATATAAGAAACCTTGGATACTCGAGGTAACAAAGATTTACTTCTTTTAAAAGAAGTGAGCTGCTCTCAGCTCTCGACTCCAGCCCAGGGAATTCTCGGCTCCCTTCTCCACCCCAAGCCGCTGGCAGCACACCAAATGCAGCACCCAGCTGTATCATTGATTCCCAGTGCCTGACACCAGACATACACTACCAAAGCCCATCACAGTGGCTCATCCATGGTCCTGGACAAGTGGAGTGAAAGGATGAGTAGAGAGGAAGGATCAGCGAAAGAGGAGCCGCACACCACAGCCATTTTCCAGGCAGAGATTCGCATTGCCCCACCCATCTACGAGCAGTCTTCACCTTGGTTTCTAAGGTAACCTCCCCAAGCAGGAGACAGAAGGCCCTCCACTATGCTGAATCAGACAGAGACAACTCAGTCCTGTGGCAGACCTCTCAGGCAGCAAGCCAAGGGAACCAACCCAAGCTATGAGTACATCTACCTGCCTGCAATGAGAGCAAAGGGGACAGGCTAGAGATCAGAGCTGAAGAGACTTTAGACACTCAAGAAAGACTCCAGAGCTAGTCTGGTATCTTATTTTGATTTTATTGTTTTGACTGTTTGTTTTGTTCACTTTTGTTTGATTTTTTAGTTAGATTACTTGTTTGTGTTGGGGGAAAGCACATCTAGAGGCATGATATTATTGAACTGTCTTTGTGTGATTACAGGTATGCTTTAGGGAACTTTATTCATTTTTTACTCTTTTCTGGCCTTGTGTCTCTTTTCATTCGTTAGTTGGTATGTATGTCTGTTTTCCATCTTACTCTTCTCTCTTTCCAACTTTTTCTTGACCCCTCCTTCTTCCATTATTTTCCTTTTTCTTACCTGCTTTTGGTCCAGGGAGCAAACCTAAACCCCACCGCATGGACAGATTGTATCCATACACCTGTTGGTGGATACTGGAATATGCAAATAGATTCTGAATCACAGCTTCCCCTCAATTGAATCCTCAAAACTGCACAAAGTACAGCCCCAAACCACAGACCATTCTCAAAAGTGAACAAAGCCAGAAGATGCTCATAAGGAGGAACAGGAGATTAAACAAAAAGAAGTAAAAGCAATGCCATGTTCCTTGAAAAACAGAATTAAAGAAGGGGAGAGAAAGGGGGAATAAAAAATCTACACAAATGAAGAAAAACCAAAAGGAGAATATGGGTCTCTCACAGAATCCTGGGAAGTCAGACAATGAGAAAACTTACTTCAGAATGCAAACAATGAAGAGCACCCAGAATGACTGGTCTCAAAATACAAACCCAGATATCAAGACATTAATGGACAGAGTAAAAAGAATTGAGGAGAGACAAGAGGAAAGCAGGAAGGAATTGATAACTGAGATCACAGTAGTAAAGACTACTGTGCATGAAATAAATAACAAACTGATAAGCATGGAAAGCAGTATTAGCCAAGCAGAAGAAAGAATCTCAGAACTTGAGGACCAAAATATAGAACTAACCCAAACTGTCAAAAACATAGAAAAGAATCTCAAAAAGAGAGAACAAAACCTTCAAGAGTTGAGTGATTATTTCAAGAGACTGAACATAAGAGTAATTGAAATTCCTAAGGAAGAAAGAGAGACAGAGACTGCCCTGGAACAAACTTTCCATGAGATTATTCAAGAAAACTTCCCTCATCTCATCGGTGATGTGAAAATTCAAAGACAAGTGACTCAGAGAACCCCTGCAAGACAACAAATAAGACCAACTCCCAGACACATAATAATTCACCTAAACAAAGTAGGTAAAAAGGAAAAAATCCTAAAGGGAGCACGAAAAAGGGTCAGATTACCTACCATGGAAGACCAATTAGAATAGCAGCGGATTTATCTACAGAACTTTCAGGCAGGAGAGTTTGGAGCACTATTTTAAAAGTTCTAAAAGATAAACAATTTTAACCAAGAATAACCTACCCAGCCAAGCTCAGCTTTATCAGTACGGAGAATTAAAATCTTTCCCAGATTTCCAATCCCTAAGAGCTTACACGGCCACCAGACCACCTCTACAAGAAAACCTTAAGAAATAATTAAACACAGAAGAAAAGGAAAAAAGAACAACAACATTCTTCAGAAGAGTACAGGAAAAAAGATTAAAAACACACATGAACCAATCCCAAAACCAAAAGAAAAACAACAAACAGGAACAACAACAACTCCATAAGAACCTTATGATAGGGATCTAGTCACACATTTCAATAATTAGCCTGGATGTGAATGGACTAAATGCACCACTGAAAAGAAATAGAATGGCAAAAGGGATAAAAAATCACCAGGCAACAATATATTTCCTTCAAGAGACTGATCTCATTAGAAAGGACACTCACAGACTCAATGTAAGAGAAAGGGAAACAAATTTTCAGGTGAATGGAGCACAAAAGAAAGGAGAAGTCATGATCTTAATCTCAGATGAAATACCCTTCAAGCTATCAAAAATTTAAAAAGATACAGAAGGCCACTACATAATGATAAAAGGTTCAATCCATCAGCAAAAAATATCCATCCTGAACATATATGCACCCAACATAGGAGCACCAACTTTCATAAAGCAGCTCCTAGGTAATCTAAAAAAAGATACTGACTCTAACACTATCATAGTTGGGGAACTTTACTACCCCACTCACAACTCTAGACAGATAATCAGGACAAAAATTCAGCAATGAGATCCAGAACCTCAATGTGAGTCTTGACCAAATGGACTTAATTGATACCTACAGAATGCTCCACCCAACGATCACAGAAGATACGTTCTACTCATCACCACATGGAATGTATTCTAAGATCGAGCACATACTTGGCCATAAATCAAGCATAAACAAATTTAAATAAGATTGAAATTTGCCATGCACCTTCTCGGACCACAGTGGAAGA